TGACCGCTATGTTAGACACCTCATTGGACTCCTTGAGAACCTCCATGTCCGAGTTGGAAAGGTTGAAGTACCAACTAATTTTGTTGTGTTAGAGCTTGATTCTGAACCACCAGATCCTCTGATACTCGGTAGACCCTTCCTTGCTACGGCTGGTGCAGTGATAGATGTCAAGGGAGTAAAGATAGAGCTGCATTTGGGTAAAGACATGGTTCTCAAGTATGACATACGCTAACAATAAAAGGACAAGTGTTCAGAGTTCATGCTAGAGATGAGCTGAATGATGAGCTTTCTGAGGAGTTGAACACAAAGGATCATTTGAGCATGGTGTTGACTAAGGAACCAGGGAAAAATGGGTTCTTGCATGAAGAAACTTCAAACTATGTGTGGCTGTTCAAGAGGAACAAGTTAGACGTACACCACAAGCCGTTTGTTGAACTATGAAGTGAAGTGGTGAGCTCGATGAATCAAGAGGCTAGTAATACTAAGGATGGCAATTCAGAACCGGATAATGAAGATGATGACCTCAAGCCACCTCCCAAAAGGCTAAGAGTACTTAAGAGATGTGCTTGGCGCCTAGTGCACAAGGAATTCAAACCAGGGGACTTGGTGCTTCTAAACAACTCAAAGGCCAAGCCATACTTAGCCTCAGAGGTCCTGAAGAAGGAGACAACACTTAGTCTCCTTGATGATCCCACATAGCCAAGCTAAGAGACCTTAAACAAGCACACTTGGGAGGTAATCCCATGACTATCTATCTAAATGTGCTTTTCTTTTGCTTTTGATATATTTGTTGAGTGATTTCAGGTTGGAAAAAGTGGTTGAAAAAGGTCAGTAAATGTGGAAAATCCAAAAAAACTAAAGCTCTGTTTCTACATCGGGGTACTATATCTAGCAAAACCTCTACAAACTCTGTTTGATGCAGTTTATCTCGGGGAAGAAGCAGTCCATACGTCGAGCTAAATGCATGATGGCGATCATATCGAGGTGCTAAATCGAGCAAAACCTCAAAAGCCCTGCCCGATGGTGATCATATCGGGCATGCACATCGAGGAGAACATCCCAGGCCCAGACAGATGCAGGACAGATTTTGATCGCCCGATTGATCGACCCGAACAGCGGCTTTCCGATCCGGTTCAGTCTCCGAGTTCTTCATCAAAGATGTAGAGGATGGAGTAATCTTTAGAATGGTGGAAGTTCAAGTCATTCTGATCCATGGTTAGAATGATACGGCGATTATAGTAAGCCGGTATACAGCAAGGTGATCATATCAGAGATGCACATCGAGCAGAACATTAAAGCCCAGACCGATATGGACAAATGCTCTTCAAAACACCAAAGCTGCAAGGATGCCTTGATCCAATGGTCCCCATTAATCATCTCCACTTATGAATGTCCATCCTCCACCCCTCCAACCTCCACTACAAGTACACACCTTCCTCATCTTTTAATCCTTACACCTTCTCCTTTACATTACATTGTTTCTATTGTGGTTTTGCCTCCTTTTGCATTTTTAATACACAGAGGGCTGTGTATTCTAAGTGTGGGTGAGTGTTTTCTTGTACTAACATTCTGCATCCATATCACAGTTGCATTTACATATAGCTAAGCAACCATGCATTGCACTTAAGTCATAGAAAATCTATACAAATTTGAAAATTTTCGAAAATTGATTTCTTAAAAACAGAGTGTTCATGTGCATTCATATAGGACTTAGACTTCATGCATTTACTTAGGTTGTAGCTTGCTTGTTTAAAATGGGTGCAATGATAGTGAATCTTTGAAAATGCTAGTGGTTTATGAAAATGATGTCCTTGTTCTTAGTCCTTTGATGCATTTGATGAAGCACTTGAAATAAGGCTGAACCACTCTTTGAATTTATAATTTTGAAACTCTTTTTTGAAGTTGAAGCTTGCTTGATTTGATCTTGACCTCTATATAAGTGGAACCTTAATTTGGACTTTGAATTATCTTGTTTGTGCATTGAAAGTGATTGTATGGGTACCAATACACATATTTATATCATCTTCTTCCTTTTCACCACTCTTGTTGATCCAAGTAGCTGATCCTCATCATTAAGGGACAGTTAACCATACCTTGAACCAATCCTTCCTTCTAAATCCAAACACTATTGTGAGAGTTTGTGAGGCCTTGCATTATCATTTTCGAACTTATCTTGGCAAGAAGTATTAGGAATAAAGCTAGCAAGGAGGAGCTCTCTTGTAGACATCAGCTTGCATTTTGAGCTTGATACTAGGTTAGGAGTTTTGGGAAAGGGTAGAGATAAGTGGTTTAAGCTTTAAAAGTTTGTATCTTTTGAGAAGAGAAGAAAAGTGGGAATGGTTTCATGAAGAGAATGATATTGTGGGAAGATGATTGTATCTTGTGGTTAAGTGAAAAAGAAGAAAGCTCTAATTTACAAAGAAGAAAAGTTGCCAGCAACAACAAGCTTACAAAAGTCATCCAAAAGGATAAAAATCAGACCAAGCAGTTCACCAAAAAATGTGATGAAAAATGGCGCCTAAGCAACAAAGAAGAGTAAGTTCTAAAAGAAATCAGCCACACAAGCAAAAGAAGAGGGAGTCCCCACATTTCAAGAAGAAGAGGATCAAAAGAGCTTTGGGAAAGGGTAGACTTAGAGGTTTAATTTGGGATTAGACTTCATTAGGATCATATTTGGGAAAGGATAGAAGTGAGCTTTGACTTGCATGAAGAGAGCTTTGACTTGCATGAAGAAACATCTTTTGGGAAAGGATACATGTTTTCTCTTGTTCTTGCATTATTTCTTATCATTTTAGTCTCATTTACATATAGAAGTAACCATGCATGCATTTAGATTAGGAATGAATACATTTGCATGTTTAAGGTGTATTTCAGGTGTTTATGGGGCTAATGAGACTTATTGGAGGATGTAGCAACATCTGGAGTCAAGAAATATGCAAGAAGAATGAAGCCAAGTTGTTTAGAAGCTACACCGAGGTCCCACATCGAGATCTTTGCTCGGTTCAACAGGATGCGAGTTATAGATCGGTCCGGAAGAAGCCTCTCCTCTCAGATTCAGGCTCCACATTATTCATGAAAGTTTTATAGGATTGGAATATCTTTCCAATGGTGGCCGAATCATGTCATTTGGATATGGGGTTCAAGAGATAGAGCGATTCCAGCTACACAGTGTTCACCAGGCTGTTGTACTGGGAAAGCACATCGAGCAAAACCCAGGCAAGCCTGCCCGGTGCGTGCTGAACTGAAAAAAATCTGCCTGAAGCAACAGGGACAGATCGGCCAAGCACATCGAGCAAAACATCTTATGTACTGCCCGATATGCTTTATACGCACTGTTGACCAAATTTTTCTGCTTTTGACCAAACCTTATCCTTTCATTTATTTAAGCTTTTGGCTTATCTTTTTGTTATCTTATCTTCTTCCTGACCCTATTTTCGACCTTTTGGAAACCAAAAAGAGATTTTTATGGGATTTTGATCCAGGTCATCTTTTTAATAAAGTTTTGCACTTCTTTTATCATTTTCCTTCTAGTTCTTATTTAATCATGTTTGATTTGTCATCTCTGCTTGTTTCTATTGATCTCATGATGTGTTGTAAGTAGTTTCATATGGTTTGAGGTTAGAGCATACTTGGGGATGATTGGTTGATAATTTAGGGAGTTTTGGTTTAATCCTTGCTTGAATCACTTAGCTTAGTTGTTCTTAGTGCTTAGTAACTCTTTCAGGGTGAAACTGATCTTAAGTGTTTGCTGCATCAAAAATGTTTGTTTAAATGCCTGAAAAAACTTTTCTAGGAACAATCGTCTAGATGATTATATTGCGTTTAGGTTGTTTTTTGGTCTTTAAAAGTCTTGTGTTTTCATGCTGGTTTTGCACAAATACGTCATCACAAGTGGGTCTGACATGTGCTTAATTTAGACATCTTTGCTCTGTTTGCAGATAGATTGAATTAGTGGCTTGATAATGTTCTTAGCTTGTTATTAGTCTTGAATATCCTAGGTTTGATACTAAGTAATCCCCAAGTCATCATTGCTCTAGCCTTGAACCTGCGCTTTATTGTTGTTTGCATTTTTGATCATTTTGTGCTCTGTTTTTCTCTGCTCTTAGTTGCTTTGCTTTGCTTTATTTGCATTGTATTTAGTCTCATACCTTGCCTTGCATTTTAAGATATTGCATTTAGCTTTTATTCTCTCATCTTGCATTGCCATTTGACTCTTGCTTTCTTTGATTCCTGTTGCATTTAGCTTCTTTGCATTACATACTTTGCTTTAGTCTTGCTAGTTTTCTCTTTAGTTTGTGAATTTCATCTTTGATCACTTAGGTTGTTAGATAATCCCATCCTTATCATATTGGTTAAGCTTAGTCAGTATCTTGCATCTCTTTTATTCTAGCTCCTAGATGGATTGATAAAACATCTTCTATACTACATTTGATTAGAGAGAGATTGAATTGAGACTCCAAAAAGTCCTTCTTCAAGGCTAGAAGAACACGAAGAATAGCTCGGACTCGACGACGCAAATTGGAGAAATCTAACCGTAAAACTAAAAGAAACACGGCGGAGCAACTATCAGAATGAAAAAAAAAAGAAATTTAACAAGCAACAGAGAGGAAGGAAAGGGAAATGAACTTTGATTTCGCGAAGTGGAGAAATGAGAAGGAATGGGAGAGCTCTCTTATTTATAAAGAACCAAGGGCAGTTTTCGAGAGTAATCATTTCCTTAGGCGATGCTTCATATTTCCCGAAGTAATATATTCGAGATCTAACACGTGGAAGGTCGGAAGACGAACAGTCACCTCAGATATCGAGAAACGACCAGCGCATCAGTTCCATATTAGCATCAAAGAAGTCCTGATCTACGATTACAAACGAATCAGATCGGAATCGATTTAATGGCCCTTCAGCGACATCAGACGCACGCACAAGAACGCCGGTCTCTGATACATCATAAGCGGACCCCTTGTCGGATCAAAATTTGTCTAAACGCTGGTGTCAAGTCTTCTTGGGCCAAACATTAGTTCTTCGAGCTCTCTACGTTCGATCGCCGAACTGGCAGAGGTTATTGTTAGGGTCGGGCTTAGAACCCCCTTAATCAGGCCTAAGGAGAATGAAACCGGCCCGTTTAGGAGAAAGCCCTAATCTCTTCGAGAAGCGGGAACACGCAATTAATGAGGAAGATATCGTCGGAGATCGGATCCAATCAAGCCATTAATGAAGATTATCAATCAAGAGAGATCGGATCGGAAGATGAAAATGAAACTTTCCATTTTCTGTCTGATCCCAGTTGATCAGGTGATTAATGAGGAGCAAACGATGGAAGTATAAAAGGGAGAGAGCCTCATTTCGTGTAGATGATCGCTTTTTAACCCACAAAAAGCATACAGCAAACACAACAAATATCTCTCGCTTAATTATTTTCCAGTTAAACGGATCAACCCTATAATCCGATCTCTTGTATTCTCTGACTCTGGTCTGTAATAAAGAAAACCTCTTTTTTTCTACAAACTCTTTGTTAGTCTTTTGAATGTGACTTGAGTTCTTACATATAGTCATTTTTATTGTGAAGAACATTCTCTTTACTGTTAAAAAATATTATATCCTTACTTTCTTGTAATATTAGCTGCGGCTCAATTTCTTGTGATATTAGTTGCTTTGCAAAACAGAAGAATATAAAAATACATATACAATAAACGTATCCAATGATATGTTTTTCTTATTCATTCCAGCAGTGGATATAACTATTTGGGTTATGTGAAGCAATATGCTTCGAATCATAAAAATTAAATAAATTACAACATGTAATTAAATCACGAACACACACACCAACACTTTTATAATCATACGATACATATAAACATCTATTTAGAATAACCCCAGAAATCCATCTCACTGCGCAAGGAAAGCTGGTTGGTCGCAGGAACTGTCTCGACAGCAGACGAAGAATTGTTGTTACCATCCTCAAACCTAATCCCTCTTGACGAATCTTCATTTCCCATATGACACGTCACAAGCCTATCCATCATCGACCATTCACCTAAACCTTGTTGATGGTTATGACTAGCCACTGTCTCACACGTACCAACCTCTAAACCAGGCTCGCACGCTTGCTGCTGGTATTGTAACCCTTCACTAGCCGCACTCTCACAGTCCCTTGTAAGCCCTGAAATGTAGTCGAATCCAAGAGAAGGTGGCTTTTGGAAGATTGGTGGGTATTGATGAAGGGCAAGGTCAGGCTTGTTCAGCTCGAATGTTGTGGCTCCGTGGTTGCGTACGAGCTGGTACGGACTCTCTCGGTGCATGAAGCTATGAGCTTGGAGCGTGTTGTCGTTGTTGGATGCATCATGGTTGTATTGGTCCGTTGAATTAATGCTTGACCCACCTTCATTCACTACCTTGAACAGATTCTTCTTCATGAACACTCTACAAACTACCCATCCATCTTCCTACAAGATCATATAATATATGTAACAAATAGATTAGACAATGTAAGAAACTAACCAATCAACTGAATTCTTAACATATAATATAAACAGTGCACTCTCAAACTATTTGAATGCTCTGTGAAAATTCTATGTCAAATGTTGTATACATATTTCATATTTATAATAAAAAAAAATAGAATCAAAGATTCTACACGAACACATCACCTAAAATAGGTTCTGAAGATAACGATCTAATATCAAATAAATTAAACTAACTTCATAATCAATTCACTAGAGTGTAACGCATCATGAATCATGATAAAATATTGTCGTCTGAAACTATACTTAAAGGCTCTGCGAGAATTCTATAACAAAATGTCGTATAACGAAAATGTCATAGAAATCAAGAGCCTTGACTTTTATACTTATTCAAAAACAATCTAGAAAAAATAAAAAAAAATGAGTATCAGATATTTTGTGCCATTTCACACCAATTAATTTATAAAAATAAAATAAAATAAAATTCTTGATGATAATGATCTAAAGATTTAAAGATTTGAAACAATTGCTCAAATAAAAGACATACACTAGGGTTGCCTTGATGATCATCAGCATCTTCGAGACGGTACTCATGCATGATCCAATCAGTCTTTTGGCCATGAGGAGCTCTTCCTTTGTAGAACACAAGTGTCTTCCTCATTCCTATCTTCTTGAAAGAGTTCCTTATGCACTTGTCTCGTCCCGTCGCCTTCCAAAACCCTGCATGAGTAGCACGGTTTGTCCTTGACCCGGTCGGGTATTTTCTGTCCTTGTGGCTGAAAAAATACCATTCGTTCTGCGGCGTTGACCCTATTTTGCATCTCTCTGCCAAAAAAGTGAGAAGTATACAAAGTTAGAGAATTAGATCACAAATCAAGAAGTGCAAGAGAGCTATCAAGATTTATTAGCTTTTATCTCAAAAAACAGTTAGCTATATTAGTGAATTCGATGTGAGATTCATAACAAGCAATAAACTGTTATATTTTCTTGATAAATGAGTTAAATACGTAAAACAGTACCTTGTAAATCCCAAGGTTCAAGCTTGTTTAAGTCAACCTCTCTGATAACTTCCATCTCAAACTTGTGGTAAGAGATTTTCTTCTTCAAGTAGTAATGGAGAAGCTCTTCATCCGTCGGATGAAACCGAAAACCAGGTGGCACTCCTCCGTTCGACGAAGAACCCATTTTCGATTACGCTTTCTTGATCAATCAACAAAACTCCTAAAACGTTTAAAGCACTGCCTTTCTTTCGAAGCAGCTACAAGTTCTTGATTGTATTTATATACACACACTCGCACGTCATTGTCAACGGGATTATTAAATGGTTTATGTCAATGTAAAATGATGCATGTTGATAATAATGATGATGATGATGATGGTGAAGTTGACGGCCGCTGACCACGGCGACGGAGATGCTCAAAAAGCTATCGTAGAAAGCAAGGCTCGCCGGAGATTAATATGACTTTTAATTTAATATAACTGTCTCTACGCGCACCTTGTGTTGCAGTGTGTGGTACACTTACGTAAAATCGACTGCTTCGTGTGTCTCTACGCCATGTTGACTTACGTATTATCATTTATGAACGATCCCGATAAAATTTAAAACATTAAATTATTAGTATCATTAACCCCGTATTCAATTTTTGATTGATCCGTACGCAAGGGTTTTTATTTTTGGAGAAGGAAATTGTTAGAGAAAAAAAGACCCATATGGATCATGGGGATCTTCAACTCGGATCATACGGTCCATGTTTACGAATACTCCTAGTTATAGCAATTAAATAGTGATAACATATAGAAAGATATAGAAATTATAATAGAATATGGATCATATGAGGTCAATATATGAATATGAATATGCCATGCACTAGCCAATGGCCAAGGTTAGGGCTTTTTTCCCTGCTGCACATGTGCCTACCTAGCTATGACCTCCGATTCTTTCTGATTTGATTCGTTTTTCAAGCTTCCTATCTGTTTTGTTAACTTGATTCATTGATTCAAACAAACAATAAATACATACACATATTTTTACATATGTATACAGGTAAGATATATTTATTATGAATGAATTAAATGACTACGGGGTTTGATGTCTGAGATAATCAACATTACAGTAGGGAGATGGAAGATAAATGAATAAAGATATACTATATTTTTGACGTCAGCCAAATTTTTATAGACTGATTTTGTAAGGCAAACAAAATCGCAGAGGGAAAGTTTTGAAAAAAAAAAAGTAAAAATAGTTCTAGCAGATAGAGCCAGACAGTCCATTCAATAAAAATTATGAAATGAAAGATAACAAGAAATCATCTTTTAAGGCCGTGGACGTTCGAAGAGTGCACGATTAATAGTTTCTTCATTTGCCCCACAACGTGACCAAAGTAAATTCATAATTAATTTTTCGACTGTTAAATCAATGATTTTTACCGCAGTACTGATGCGGACATCAAACCTGAAGTAGTGATTCTAATAATGGGGTTTCTACCAAGAACAAGAGCTGGTACAAAAAGACTTCAAAAAGAGTATAATCAAGCTGTGGAGAATCTAATAAGCCAACAAGCACTTGAAAAAATAATGGACCAACTTGACAAGCTTGACATCACTTCAACGGACACTTCACAGGAAACACTTGAAGACCACATCACTCAAGTTCATGAGACACACCAGCAGGACGGTCCATACATCAAATTCAACTCACATGAAGAAGCTTGGCCGGTTATATCATCCAACCAAGGAACCACCTTGTTTTCCATCAAACCGAGCTGAATCAAAGCAAAGGAGAGATCAAACCGGATTTCCAAATGTACCAATCCGCCCACAGCAAACCAAGGTAAGTTTCTGAATTATTTATATCATATTTTGACTAATCCTTGTGTTTATGTTTGTTTGATCTCAACAGCTAAATCCCTTAAAATTAGCTATCTTTTGTTTATGAACTTTTGTATTTCTTGCTTTGATTTTCCTTTGATTTTGCGTTTTTGATTTTTGCATTAATTATTGTAATAAATTGGCCAAGGAAGCCCTCAGCTGCTTGAACCATATATAAGGTTCCATTCAGCTATGTACTTTTTACACTTGATTAATAAGAAAAAACCCTTTTTGTTGTTCTTTCAGAATTGCAAACAAAAACCAGAGTTCTTTGAGATTGTGTGAGAAGCTTTTCTTTTGAGTTCTTGACTTATCTCTGCTTATTCCATAAAGCTGAGTGGCGTCCCTCATTCCATCATCCTTACATTTCATCCACTGATCAACCTGAAAAGAGACCTTAGTCCAGCAGATTTATTCCATCACCATCCACTTCGATCATCATTTGAACAAGTAGAAAGAGACCTCAGTCCAGCTGCTTTGTTTCCATCCATTCACCTATCAACTATAAGATCATACCCCCTTGATCTTATATCATCTGGTATCAGAGCTTAGGCTCCACAATCAGGTGAATCTATCTCTTGTTCTTAACTTTTTGTTCTTGTGTTCTTAATTTTCGTTTTTGTGTTCTTCATTTCCAGAAAAGTCAAAAAAAAAAAAAAAAATTCTTGCTTTGTTTCATTTTGATTCACAAAAACTAAAATCAAAAACAAAAATTTTGTTTATTAGTTTTGAAATCTTATTCTATTTAAAAAAAAAAAAATATTTGCAATTATTTTCTTGATTTGCTTTGCATCCATTAAATTTTTTTTTAAAAAAAAAAAATCAGTTGATTGATCCTTTGTCATTTCATCAATTTGCTGTGTTATTTCCATATTTCATTGCATTCACCCTTGTCATTGTTAGTTTAAATACTTTAACATTGATTTTGTGTTTGGAATTGAAGTTTCTATACCACACATATTGCACTTGATCTGTTTGTTTTCCTTGTCTTAAACAGGAAAGAATGACTGACCCTGTTGCACCGGAAGATCTTGGCCTTGCCAACATTCTAGCTAACATCCAAATGACACTTGCCACCTTGGGTGACTGTGTAGCTAGGATAGAGCAACCTGCTCCTGCTCCTGTTCCTGCTCCAGCTCCTGCACCACGCAGAGAGGCTAACCCAGCTGCTAATGGGAGAAGGAACCAGCAACAGAATGATGACGATATGCCAGAACTAGATGATGATCTGCCCCCTGATCCTGATGGCTACCCCAACAATGGAGGACCACGTCAAGGAGGCATGGTATATGACTATGCTAGAGATAGAGGCACAGACATCAGACTCACCCCACCTACATTTGCCAGGAAGATCAATCCTGATGCATACCTTGATTGGGAGAGAAGGATGGAGAACATCTTTGACTATTACCAATATTCTGAGGTAAGAAAAGTATCATTAGCTGCTGCTCAATTAACTGACAATGCTTTGTCTTGGTGGAACAGAGATGTTTCAGAAAGAAGAAGGCATAGACATGCTCAGATCAACAACTGGTCAGATATGCGGTTCAGCCTAAGGAAGAGGTATGTACCAGCCTATTATCACCGAGAGTTGCAAAGGAGATTCTGCAAGCTCTCTCAAGGGAACAAGTCCGTGGAAGAGTACTATGATGAGTTTGAGATCCTTAAGAACCGGCTGGAAGTAGAAGATCCACCAGAAACCTTGATGGCTCAATTCATAGATGGACTTCAAGACAGAATTGCTAGGAAAGTAGAGAGGCAAGTATACCACGACATGGAAGAACTTCTACACTTGGCCATCCAAGCTGAACAACATATCAAGAGGAAGACCGCCTCTACCAACAGAAGCAAGAGTACTTGGACTCCACAAGCTCAGAGACACGTGGACAAAGAAAAGTCCATAGAAGTGGACTCACGGTTCAAGAAATCAGCACCAGAAACGTCCAAAAGGTCCAAATCCGAGCAAGGTAAGTTCCCTACTAAACAACACATTAGAGCTCGTGACATTACTTGTTTTAAGTGCCAGGGTAAAGGACATTATGCAAGAGACTGTCCAAACCAAAGGGTTATGATCCTTACACCCAATGGAGAATATGAGTCTGAAGATAAAGCAGAAATGGAGCAAGAATTTTCAGAAGATGATGTAACCAACTATCCTGAAACTGGAGAGTTACTTGTAGTGAGGAGAGCACTCAGTACACTCTGTGATTCAGACACCTTGCAAAGGAAAAACATCTTCCACTCAAGATGTACAATCAACTCTAAGGTATGTAGCTTGATTATTGATGGAGGATCATGCACTAATGTAGCCAGCAAGTATTTGGTTGAAAAGCTAGGTTTGCAGAAGACCAAGCATCCCCATCCCTACAAACTGAGATGGCTTAATGATGAAACTGAGCTCAAGATTGCTGAGCAAGTCACCATACCCTTCACCATTGGTAAGTATGCAGATAAGGTGGTATGTGACGTGGTACCAATGCAAGCAGGCCACTTGTTGCTAGGAAGGCCGTGGCAGTTTGACAAAGAGGCCATACACAATGGGAGAAGTAACTACTACAATTTTTCTCACAACAACCGCAAGCATAATCTAGCCCCTCTTACCCCACAAGAGGTACATGAAATACAGAGAGCCATGACTAAGAGCTCTGAGGTAAGTAAAACTAATCTCTATGTTTCACCTAAATCTGTGTTTAAATCTCTTGTTTCACAAGAAAAGGTGCTACTAATGGTTTTCAAGGAAGTGTTGTTTTCAGGACAAGATGAAAAGGAACTACCACCAGAAGTACTTGAGTTACTTAAACGGTTTGTAGATGTTTTTCCAGATGAAATTCCACCAGGATTACCCCCAATAAGGGGGATAGAGCATCAAATCGATCTTGTACCAGGAGCACCTCTACCAAACCGTGCAGCCTATAGAGTCAATCCAGAGGAGGCCAAGGAGTTAGAAAAGCAAGTTCAAGAGCTCATGTCAAAAGGATACATCAGAGAGAGCCTAAGTCCTTGTGCAGTTCCTGTCCTTCTAGTGCCAAAGAAAGATGGTTCATGGAGGATGTGTGTTGATTGCAGAGCTGTCAACAATATAACCATCAAGTACAGGCATCCCATCCCAAGACTTGATGACATGCTGGATGAACTCAATGGAGCCACTATCTTCTCCAAGATTGATCTAAGAAGTGGTTATCACCAAGTGAGGATGAAAGAGAGAGATGAATGGAAGACTGCCTTCAAGACCAAAAGAGGGTTGTATGAATGGCTTGTTATGCCATTTGGCCTCACCAACTCCCCCAGCACATTCATGAGACTCATGAACCATGTCTTAAGGGCATACATCTGTAAGTTTGTAGTTGTCTATTTTGATGACATACTGATTTA